AGTATTCCACTGAGTGGATAAAACATTTCTTCATTCATCATATGAATAATTGCCTATATTTGATTGCAATGAATAATGTTGCTCTACTTATTTGTATACAAATCTGAGTGGACACGATTTCTTCCGTTTTGGGCAAATAGCTAGAAGTGGAATTGCTGGATTGATTTTGACCATTCTATTAGGTATGATAGCTTACATTCCTGATGAATGTGTTGAATGTATTTTCATGTGCTGACTTATCAGTGATGTATCGTTTTTTGTAAACTTTTTTGTTCCACTTTTGACGACTTGCATGATATCTCAGGGGCAGTTACCACGACAATGGTTATTATAGAGAATGAATACAGAACAGGAAGAAAGAACATCAGGTGGAGCCTGGAGTCCAGGTATAGGCTTCTAACATTCACTTTGGGGCAGGGGCTCCTATAGAACATACTTTCTCCAGCATTGAAATGCAGCAAGAGCTCACACTGCTTCTGCTCTGTTTAAGTCCTGTTTGAGTCTCAGGGTCCAGGGCTTCTTCTTGGGCTGGTGATGCTGGCACATTCTGCCATATGACCAACTGTAACAGCAAGGAGCCACACGTGGCTATAGACACTTGAGAATGTACATGAAAAGAGAAGATCCACATAATGATTTTAAAAAGATGAAAATAAGTTTATTATAAAAGTATGAGCGTAGTCAAATAATGTATTGCCACACAGTGGGCAGGAGACAGCACCAAAGATGAAGGATTTTGCATGAGATGGAGCCTTCCACAGGTGGGGGAGAAAATGCCACAGCACACCAGTTTCTTAAGTACTGAGTTCTGACAAAAATGACTTGGTGCCAACAGGCTTACTTAACTGGAAGGGATGGTTCCTAGCCTGGGCTCGAGCCTGGGAATGACCAGTTTTTTTTGTGTGTTAACAGTTATCTCTATACACTCCTTTCTCAAAAGACAGCCTCCCTCAGAAAGTCATGCAAGCCAAGATCATGCAGCAAACACATACATTTGCTGACTCTCATCACTTTTCACCCTTTTCCTGAAACCAACCTCAATTATTTAAACTCCAAATTGTAGAAGGAAGGCATGACGTCACCATAAATGGCATTGTTTGTGTACTCTAGGTAAGGAGTACAGTAGGATTCAGAGTCTCAGGAACACAAAACAGCCTTTAAGTTAAAATCACATGCACCCTTGCAAAGGCCAAGTTCTCAGAGGACAGGCAAGCACTCAGTCCCTACTTCGATGAGCAACATCAAGCTGCTTGGTTTACCCTCTCCTGCACATACCTAGCCACTTCTTTTGTCATTTTAACTGGTTTGTTAATTATTGTTTTTGTCAAGCGTTTTTTACATATTCTAGAGATAAGTCAATATATGTTTCCTTCCAGTCTGTATATTCCAGCCTGTAGCTTGTCCTTTTATCTTTTTACTGATATCTCTCAGAAGGAGTTCAAACAGGAAAGCAATATGACTTAATTTTCATACATACAAAGTGCCTATGTAGAGAATGGATGCAGAGTCCAGGAGTGGGCTGGAAAGTCCTGTAGGAGATCACTGAAGTGAGAGCTGACAGCAGATTAGATTATGGATAACAAGGAATGGAGGGAAGTGGGTGCAAATAAGGAGCATGCACAAGATAGTAGTGACAGGGAATGGAAGCATATCGTGGATTTCCAACAGAAAGAGGTAGAGTAAGGCTCCCCAACTTGCCAGAATGTATTATTATTTTTTAAGAAACAAAGCTCCTATACATTCATGGAATTTTAGTGTTGCATAATTTGGAAATGTGAGGCCAGATGAACTTTAGAGTCCCTTCTAATTTTCACAGTCTATGGTCTGATGAACAAGCTTTTTGAAGTTGTTTTAATCATACTGAACTATTTTGATGCACGTATCAAGGTGTAGCCTTATACACTGTTTATTAATCACACATATACGTATTTGTAATGCTGAGTTTTGGTCTAAGAAAATAACCTCACGGCTGAAATTTACACAATTCATGGATGGAGACCTCTGTGAAAGGAAAGGCAGAAACACTGTCAGCACAGGAAGCACGAGAACAAGGACCAGGAAATTCATATTCATGTATTAACCCAATTACCACATGTACCTTGCAAATCTGTAGCACTATTTGTTTAAAATGGGATTTCACATCACTCCGTCCCAAATGACACAGACAGCATTATAAATGAAAAATTCTTTCCCCAGGCAAGGATACAGCACTCTTCTCATTTGAGCAGAGGATGTTATCACAGAAAAGCCTTTATTTAAGGCTGGAAATTCTATTTACCCAGGAGCCCAAGTCACTGTTTTGCTGTTCTTACAAAACAAACAAAATACCTTGGCAAACTAGATGCAAAGAAGACCTAAGGGAATGGAAAGGAATGTAAAATCAGATATACAGGTCAACGTGAATGCAATACATCAGGAGCATAGTAGCAAGACATATTTTCTCTTCTGCTAAAAACAGGAAGCTATAAGAATCAATGAGACAAAGTGAGAGTACAGAAATTAATATATATATGTATACATATACAAATTATATATCTAACAAGGTAGATTTTGTTGTGTTGTATTTTAGAAAGAACAATATAACGAATCAGAAATAGTTGTTTTGCCTGGTAGAAGCCATATGATACAGACATGGGTCAGGGAGACAAAGGCATCTCCTGCAAGCCTGTTGGGCCTACTGCCGCCATAAGCTATGCCAAGTCAGGGAGATGGTGGCATGCAAGGGTACCTGCCCTTAGGTGCTGTCCAGAGTAAGGACACATTATTAAAGAGATAATAATGAATCTAAGTCACATGGTGCTCATTCTGTACCCGCCTGCTTCAAGACCTTTGTACATGCTGTTATTTCTCCTGAAAGCCAGTTGTCTCTGCTCATCCTCAAGTCTTGGGAACCCATCTTTCAGGTCTTAAGTCTCCTGTCACTTCCCTACAGTCTACACTGTCAACAGGCAAGTTCATTTTATTGAGTCCAAATACTGTTCAACTGCCAATGCCTTTTTTCAGAAAAAGAATAAAATTATAAATTTAGAATTGGATAAACTAGGTGCTCATGTAAATAGGGTCCTTTAGGGTGCTAGCTTTGTGAGCTTTGTGGAACCTGCAGCCTCCAGCAGGCACCGTAACTGTATTTGCCTTTAGGGTCCTCTTCAGTTTGTAATCACACATGTAGGTGTGTGTTGATTTGATTTCTGTCCACACCCCACTGGACTATATGCTTCTTGAGGGTAGACTATTTGTTCACCTACCTACAGTAGAGAGGTCTTCAATAGATACGATTTAAATGAATGAGTCCTGAAGTTTGAGTAATAAAACTATTCACTCCCACTCACTGAGGCTGCATATGTCACGTCTTGGATGTCAGTGCCAAGGGTCTGGGAATATTGGAATCCCCAGCTCTAAAAATATGGGAGACGAGGCCACTGTGTATATCTGGGAATAGTGAGATGAAAGCTGGGGGTGCCAGGGGTTCGGGGGTGTAGCTTCCAATTCCTGCTGTCAACAGGATCTGCCAGAACAAAACATGCTTTCAGAAAGTGGTATGGCATCCCCTCACTAGACCTTTACCAAAGAAGCCTAATACATAGCTGCTGCTCCCCGATTTCCCCTCTTAATACACACATACCCTCATATATACACCCCCAAAAGTCAGATCCTTAAGCCAATGAGTCCCAACCTGGTGATTATGCGGTGCCCTGGGAGAGAATATGGCAAGGTCTAGGGAATTTCTGTTGTCACAGCTCAGAAGTTCTATTAGCATCTAGAGGACGCAGGTTAAGCATCCTACGGTATGCAGAATAATCTCACAGCAAAGAATTATGCAGCCCAGGATGTCAGTATTGCCAGTGTTGAGAAACTCTGTCTTAAACCTCCAGGTTCCTTCTCATTTTCTGGACACTACTACTGATTGTAGGGCTTCTCCCCATCACCTCCCCTCTACGTTCTTTACTGCTCACTAACCAGTGGGGGCAGTGTTGCTCAGAGGGTTAGAGGGAAGACACCAGTATGTCGTGGAATTTCAGTTGAACTTTGCTTATTAGAAATAGAATAACTGTTAGAATGGCACTATTGTAGGCCAATGACCCTTACTGGAAAGCGAATTCTGAGTCAATTGGGTCTGCAGTGGGGCTTAGCTTGTTACTGTCCAAGCCCCAGGGGTGCAACAATTGCTGGCCTGCAACCGCACTTTGAGTAGCAACAAAACAAAGAGCTACCCTTGGGGGGCTTCCAGTCTGCCTAGAAGTGCTCTGGCCTTCTAGGCCAGAAAGAAACCTGCACAGGCTTAAGTCAGAAGCTCTGAGGCTTGAAATAGCAGAGCTGTAAGAGAAGCTGGGGCTCACAGTGGGGACGGGAGTGAGCCAAAGTCATACTACTTGCTCTGCAGCTTTTGGATCATGCTCTTTGATTTCTAATCCCTGAATTATCAGGGTCCTCAGGGACCTTTTCAGGGCAGAGCTTGATCAGAGAGGGGAGTTTGGGTTCCCAAGGGGGTCCCACTATCCTGGATTTCCCATTTCTCTATTTATCTTCTATACATAAGGCAACACTGAGATATTTTAGGAGAAGTACTAGATTCTTCTTCCTTGCACCTTTGCAGCACCACTAAATCTGTGGCAAAGATGCACCAGAGTAGAACCACAGAGAAGAAAATTCTGGGTGTATTCTGTCAGCAGTATAGAATAACCACTGACAGAATTAGCACAATCAAAGCCTTTTCATAATCTGAGGGTGGAAAGACAAGTCCTGGACGCACCAAAGGCCTCTGTTCTCATCTTTAAGGGCTCACTAGAACAACGCCAAAGACCCAATGGTTTGGATTAGAAAGTCATTTGTGCGGTGCCGAAGAACAATTTCTTCCTCTACTCAGAATACCTGAGCCACACACTTAAATTCATGCCTGTTCCACTGGAACAGTAGCAAATCTCATGAAATAGCTAAAAAAAGAGCAACAGCTGGCACACCAGGCATTAATAATATAACAAAAGGAAGGGGAAAAAAGAAACTTTTCATTAGTACGTTTTGATGTCGATTTATTATTTATCCCTTTGCCAATATTCAAACAGGCAGGCAGTCATAAAACATTCAAAAAGGTTCTCTAAAATAGGCATCTGTTTTACTTCAGTTTCTTTTTAGAAACTTGAAAATCAGGAGACTTGGTGTTTAGAGTATAGCAATGTTAAAAAATATTTGTATCAAAAATATCATTTGAGATTCACTACTTAGAGTTTAGTTTGAATTTCATGAGAGGCCAGGAGGCAAGCAGACAACAGTTTGTAAATGGAGATGTGGTATAAGGGTCGTTTCCAAACATTTCACTCCTCAGCATTACTGTTTGAAACAAGGATGTTGATAAGGCCCACTGTTCAGTAATTAGAATCCTGTCAAATCCTGCCAATCAGGACCAGCAGGCCACACGTGGACCCAGTAAAAAAATGCATGTGGGAAATTCTGGTTCTATCCTCAAGGGCTGACTGAGCTCAGAATGATATTCAGTGTTGGTGCCATGATTACCACTGACACAAGGTAAGGAGGCCTCATCGTGCAGGGGCTCTGAGCAGCGCTGCCTGATCTTGATGATCTGGCATACCATTCCAGCTTCTTTGATAAATATATTTCCTGGCTGTGTAGACAGAACGTATTCTTCCTGGGGTAGAAGACTCATCAGAGGTAACATCATTATAGTAATAAGACAAAGAAAGCCCCCCAGAAAAGCAGAAAACAAAGCAAAGCTAAAACCTCACTCCAGGAGGAGCTGGGTGGCAGAGGGGTTGACTAGTGGCTTGCCTAGCTTGTCTTTCCTTTATTCCTCTGGGTACTTCTGCCTTTCTGGGAACTGTCTGTCATGTACAGACCATGGTCCTTGATATAGCCAATGACAGCATCAGGAAGCAAGTACTTCACACTTTGCCCTTGGCTCAGGGCTCTCCTCACATATGTAGCACTAATCTCGTTTGGCACTGGCTCCCTGGCCAGGTGAATGTTGTGTCTGTATTTGGACAGGATGGGTGAACCCAAGATGTACCCCTGTGGGTCATGCCCTGCCCGGCTCACGCACACCAAGCCAAACTTCTCCACTATTTCCTGGATGTGTGAGTCTTTCCAGAGGTTGGGGGTCTGGAAGGTCTTCAAGATGTCTGCCCCGCAGAGGAGTTTCAGCTCAGGTGCAGCTGCAAAAACAAGGGTGGATCTCAGCATGGTTACAGAAGGGTCACTGCCAGGAAAGGTACTGGGCTATTCTGTTGGAAGATATTTTTCTTGGAATGGACTGGGAACTCAGTGTTTCCACGTTCCTGACTTAAAAAGCATGTTTGAAGCTATGTCGGGACATACAATTCTAAGTAATGATTTCGTCAATACATCTTTTAATATTGATAGAGTTCCAAGGGATACAAACAAGTCTTTTTTTTTTTTTTTTTTTTCTTTTTAGTGCTATAACACAAAATCTCTCTGTGATGACTCTGGACCATGACAAAGGCTGTTCTGTTCCCAGAATTCCACTTTTTGATGGAAAATAAAATTTTTAAACCTCAAAGACTAACAAGCTCTGGACCTTGGACAAGTCACTGGCCTATTTGAAATGTACTTCAGTCCTACTGTTATTAAGAACTGGGAGCTGGCACTTTTATATGAAATCTAAATCTAAAGATTAATTATAAAGACTCTTTGGATAACCAAAAAGCATCTACGACTCCAGTTGGTGGTCTTTTCATTTCCATTTCCAAAACAATGAAGCTCCAGAACAAGTGATCAATGTGGATAATGCTCTGGAATCTGTTCTAATAAAAGCTGATTGTGATAAAATATCACCAAATATTGATGATGTGCTCAATACCACATTATTACTAATCACTTATGGTATATAATACCATATGATCTTCAGAACAATTTCATGCAGTAGGCATGGTTGTGCCAATTTTGCAGAATGGGAAACTGAGGCAGGGAGAGGCAAGTGATTTGCCTGAGGCCCTCTGCTAGTCACAGTAGTCAGGATTTGAACCCAAGCAGCCACCATCCAGGTGGGGGATCTCTAACTGCTAGGCTCTGCCACCTCATGCTGGTCTGGTGGGAATCTATATGCAACATAACTGAGAAGCCTTTGAGGGCTAGGAACCAGGCAGATTTTGCTAACACTGTGCAAGTTCTTGGGCAGGATAATCTGAAAAGAAAAAATAATGTCTATGTTAACATCTTGCTGCAATATCCATGATCCTTCCACAATTTGATTCTAGCTTCCATGAAGGCTTCAGCAAAGGCTGGCCTCCTAGAAGGATGGCATCTGTCACCATGAGGCTTCAGGAAGGATGGGACTCCCGGTTACCACCCATGGGAAGAAACCTTGCAGAAAGGCTCAGTTTGTTCCTTCAGTGATGGAACGTGTGAAAGAATCTGGATATGCGCAGGGATGGGTTTAAAAAAGAGCTCTGAGTTGGCTGTGGCAGGGAAGGTGAGAGGCCAGAGGTACCTTGGGAGAAATCATCAGCTGGTTTCAGCTGGACATAGGCTTCTGCAGGGCTACAGCCAAGACCCTTCTTTCTCTGGGCCTCAGATTCCTCATACACAAGTCAACATCATTAGATTCATTCAAAGCAACCAATGTAATTAAGGAAACACATTTGTAAAGCCCTGTAGACTCGAGTCAGACACCTTAGGTTCAAATTCTGGTTCAGCAATGCACTAGCTCATGAGACCTCAGTTTTCAAATGAACATGTTAATAGTATAAAGTATAGGGTTACCTTATAGTATTATAGAATGAACTTATGAAGATGATGTACATATACTAGTAGCTGGCAGACAGAACATGCTATATGCAAATGTAATAACTGCCCTTCATTCATTCATCCATTTGCCCAGTTATCTACCAAGCTACTCATCAAAATATACATTCAACATTTTTAAATTGTCTGCTTAGTGGCTGGCCCATTTAAAACCATGATGATTTAGTAATTCACACTTCTCACTAATACATTGTTCATAATACATATGTGGATATATACTGTTCTACAACTATGAAGTTTTACCCTGATTTCCTGTTTATCCAGCCACTATAGTACAGCAAGAGGTCAGTGTGTGATCTTTCAGATGACGGAGTAGTTTCTATGCAGTCTTCCCATGGGGAAGATTAAATGATGAAATTTAATTCCAAGGTCTCTTGGGGCCATAGGCATATCTTCTATGTTCCCATAGATCAGAGAACAGAGACACCCCTTTTTTCTTTCAGTGGGTTTTGTGGAGACAATTTCCAAATACTTGCTTCACTATGGGGTACCCTGACTTATTAATAATGACAGCAAAGGACACTATGCATTCTGAACCTTGTTAGAACAAGTGCCCTCACATCTCCTAACTCCCAAAGTAAAGGTATATCTACAAGGCTGGTGGTGCCTTTCATTCCATGTGACAGTTGCATGTGATGGGTCACTTCTTATGGCAACATGAGCAAAAGTCATCAATTGTGAACCTCTTGTCTTCAGGCCTCACAAAAAGCATTCACAATATCTCTTTCAAATCCATTCACATAGATACTGCAGAATATTCAGACTGAATGATTCTAAGTCCAAAGTACATAACTTAAGAAGTAGTATAAAGGCTGCTAACATGATTCATCCTGACAGTGACACAGTGGCACAAATGGTTGTCTGTGGGCATTTTGGGGGCAATATGTCTCTGCCTTTGAGTAGCTATGAGCCTTACAAAGTGGATGAAGTCAAATTTTGCAAAATTTACATAAATTTACTGGTGAAGAAATGCCACCAGTACCTTTAACTTTGGATGTTGATGACATTCATGTGCATCAGTCTTAAGGTCAGTTAGTCCTGGTTTGAATTTCAGGTATGCTGGTACCCTGGAAAGTTATGCTGAGCCCATGGGCCTATTTCTTCAACTATAAAACAGGGCTAATAAAGTCTGCAGTGGAAGAGGTAAAAACTGAGAGACCGAGTGAAGAAGGCTATGGCAGTTTTCTGCCTGGCACAAGGTATTAACACAGCCAGTGATGGTGGTATCTGCCTGCACCCTCCACATACAGTCAGTAACATGAACTGCTGGACCCAAATAAGAGGCCACCAGAGATGAAGCTGGACATGGGCATCTGATGGGTACAAAATGGAAACAGATCAAAGGCCTGCTGTTTTTCTGGAAAGAGAATCCTTTGAACCTGTCAGCCAAGGAGAGAGTCCATCTTCAAAGCACAAGAAAGTCTGAACATTAGAGGACCAAGTGGCCTCCAGAAAAGTGAATGAGCTTTGTCAGACTTGATATGAATGAGGGCAGCATGGTCTGGTTTCACAGCGTAGTGAGCTCTGAATTGAGTCTTGCAGGACAGGCAGGTCTTCAACAGGAGAGCCAAGGAGGGAAGAGGAAAGAGAAGCAGCCAGGCAGAGGTGAGACAGGGATTCTGGAAGCATCCACTAGAGGTGAAGTTTGGGAGGTGGAGGCTCAGCTCAGTACCCCGCCATTTCACACTGGCTGCTCCTTATCTCTCTCCACAACCTGTGGAGGTGCAGCTGCCTTCTGCACATAGCCTTCCTGACCTTGCTTAGGCTCCCACCACTCCCAGCCTGTCTCCTGGCCTGGGGAAGTGTCCATGGGGCAAGGGGGCCTTTCAGGAGGAGCTGCTGAGCCATAGGAGATGCAAAAGCTGATGAACACTGGGCACTGGGTCATAATGGATTGGCTGGGGAGAAGCCTATGCAGGTAAAGGAGAGACAGAGAGACCAGAAGATACAATAAACATCTTAGTGGATTATATGAGAGGCACTATAAATCTTTAGATTCTTAGTGAAGCACACATCACCAAGCTGGCAACAAGGTAAACCAGAATGCTTATTAAACACAGTGCCTTGACCCCATGCAAGAGTCTGGGAAGGGCTCGGAATTGTGGGATTCTTGAACCAGCATCTGTGAACTACATGGCACATTTAGGGCCTGACAGCTTTCCAAGTTCTTTTATTTATTTTTAAATCTTATTCATTCATTCACTCATTCAGTACTAGGGATTGAACCCAGGGCATCCCCAGTGAATTACATCCCCAGCTTGTTTCTATTTCTTATTCTGAGACCCAGTTTCACTAAGCTGTTAAACCTCCAAAACTGGGCTTGAACTTCTGTTTCTCTCCTCTCAGCTTCTCAGAGTGCTGGGATAGAGGCACGCGCCACCATACCAGTTCCGAGTCCTTTTAGAAGAGTGTTTCCTTTGTGCTTTGGGGGAACCAGCTCTGAAAAATACTAACAGGCATTGTGAAAAAGAACAGAAAAGTTTTCACAGTTAAAAGTGAGAGGAATGGCTGCAGGCTTTCTCCTTTTCTTCTCGAGTCACAATGCATAGGGGTGTGCAATAAAAGTTCTGAAAAGTCCTGCAGTAAATAAGCATTTCAAGTGTATTTATCCTTGGCAGTCTTGAGCCCTTCTGATCCAAAAGTAGTGTCTACCAACCAAAGTTGGGGACCTTGTAGTAGAAAATTGAAGATGGTTTGCCAAAAGTTTGGCATGGTGATTTTCTGCTCACATTGCCTCTTGCCCTCCAACCACCCAAAGATCTCCTGCTTATTTATTTGCACGAGCAGGTCATGCCTTTGACTTGCATGCTCTGACTGCTCACCTTCTGAAATCACAGGTAACTAGTTTCCATCAAACACTAGTAGAATACAACAGAGTTACAAATTAGGAAGATACTCCAAGTTGACTTTACATGACTTAAACATGACTTTCTTTTTCTGAGTAGCCCATGGAGTAACTATGGATTTTATGATGACCCATCCTGAATTTTATTTTTTTTACTTTTTTTTTTTTTGTCTTTTTCCTTTTTATTGGTACCGGGGATCGAACTCACGACTGCCTGCTTGCAAGCCAGGCGCTTATGCCGCTGAGCTAAATCCCCCAGCCCCTCATCCTGAATTTTAAAAGGCTAAGGGTTTTCAAAGAACCATCACTCACCAGTTTCTCCCCGTATGGTCCTGACTAATCCATGTCACAGCCATAAATCACAAAGTAGGTAAGCTCCTTTGGGCAGCAAATTCCCCATCAGCTTTCACAAGAATCCTTGCCATTCCCCGTCCTGCAGACCTGAGGCTTGGTACCCACCTGTGAGGTCTGAAGGTGGCTTGTCAGGGTCCAGGCCTTCCATCCGGGCTGCAGATCTGAGCAGTTGGCTCTGATGATGCCTGCAGCATAAATATACAGGCTCAGGTGTATCAACCTCTAACTTCCAAATCCACCAGGATTCTCAGGATTTAAGTCTCAGCCTGCTCCTACCCATCTTAGGTCATTCCACAAATATCTGCTGAGGGCCTACTATGAGCCACGCACTGTGCCGGGTGCTAGGACAGAAAGCAGATTTCACCTGGGTTCTCCTGGACGACCCTACCCAAAGGAGTCCACTTCCACTTGCCCTGGGTAAAAGTATGAAAGCGAGCCTAATTTTACTCTTGTAGCATTTTCTTCACACATTTGCATTTGGAAGGCAGGAATGGTAATGTCTAATTTTTAGGCTTTTGTGAAGGTAGATGTACACAATCAGCACAGGCATGGTATGGCTCTGGCTGTCATTAAAGACACTTGCTCTTAGTATAAACTACTGTTTAAAAGTGCAGTATGCTGAGGGCTAGAAGCCAGGATTTGGAGCCAACTGGTCTTAGTTGAATCACAGCTCCCATTGGCTAGCTATGTGGCTCTTGGTGGGTGATTTCAGGTCTCTGTCTGGATGATCCCTCATCTCATCATGGGATACAGTGATAGTGCCCAGCTCTGATGGGAGATCATAAAGATGAGAGGAGTTAATTCATGCACTGTGCACCCAGCATTTCAGATATGACTAGACTTACACCAATCTGGGATGCACAGCAATCTAGCTTTCTGGAATCAAGAGATAACCTGTACCTTCTTTTCTTAACACAAGTAATCCCTGTACACAGTTTCTTGTCTCAATCTGATCTTCCAGCTTTTACTTCCCATTGTCTGTGTTCATTGGAGCTGCATATGGGACGGAGCAGTGCCTGGTGAGAAAAGCATGTGCCTCACAACCAAAGCTTGGACTTGGGTTCAAGTCCAAGTAATCCTGCTGGTATGGTCCTGCAGGAGTCACGGACACTGAGTTCCACTGACCTCAGGTAATGACCTGATCATAAGAGTTAAATGCAGCCTTATCTACAACAAGAATCATAAGACCACACGAGAAAGTGCTGCTGCCCTGCAAAATACGGTGGAAGTGCTCTGCTGCCCGGCACCGCTGGGAGGCGTGTGCTGCAACTGAAAAGCTCAGTGCTGGGCTGTGCACGGAATGTGCTCAATAAACTGTAGCTGTGATTATGATCGCCACTCTCTGTCTTCCCACCTGACTGTGAACAGGCGCCTCATTTTACTCATCCTGGTACTCTTAGTTCCTGGAAAGTGCCCTCTAAAGTCTCCTGAATTCAGGAATGATGGAGGACTGGATGAATAAAATACATCTAACTCTGGTCCAAAGCCCTTCCAATGATTTCAGAGACCTGGCTACATCTTTTCAGAGCCTAGAATTTTTATTGAGAGCTAGCTGTAGGCCATACTGTGCTACTGCTTAATGTGCAGGCTTATTCACCATCACAAAAGCCTAAAAATAGGCATTACCATCCCTGCTTTCCAAGGGTGTATTTTGAACCTGGTCTGCTTGTGAGTCGTGCGGGGCTCTGTTTTCATTGTCCTTTCACTGCTTTGGTCTCAGTAAGCTTTATTTCTACAGATTTACTTCTGGGTTGGTCTGGGCTCTTTCACCAGACTGTAAAATATGCTTGAGTCTCTTCTCCACTTTCTAACTTTTTTTTTTTTTTTTTTTTTTTTTTTTTTGATATCAGGGATCAAACTCACAACCTTGTGCTTGCCAGGCAGGCGCTTGTGTCACTGAACTATATCCCTGGTTTCACTTTCTAAGTGCAAACAATTAGGAGGTGGAGAATGTTACAGATCCTTTCAGAGTTTAAATCTTCTCATCTGTGAAATGGGCTAAACCCACCTACCTTTTAGAGTCACTGAGCAGACGAGTTATGTGTTAAAGAACATGGCACTTGTGGCAAGTGATATAGTAAAGAAGGTGATTGTTATTTCATTTTACTTACCTTGAAGCTCTTATTTCAAGTTAAATCTGCTTTGAATATTAGCTGGGTATTGGAACTTTGCTGTGTAAATGATTATTTTCAACACCAATTGCACTTTCTCCATAGATTTTGGGGAAGGGCTGTCATTTCTCCTCGCTGCCCACCTGCGTGGTACCCTGGTGTATCCAGCTTGAGGCCTCAGAACTGACCCTGGGGACATAGTCTCTTGTCTGCAGCTGCCTTGGTCTCCAGAGAAGACCCACTGGAAAGCTGGGTTCTGTGTTGTGACCTCGTATTCCCAGCGAGCATGTTGCTGATTTGAAGACAGCCCACAGTCTGGCTTCTGAGTGGAGCAGACTGTAGCTCCGCCTCTAGCTTATTGGTCGCGACTTTGAATAACTTATCCTGCCTGAGCTTGAGCTGTGTTCATCTGTAAAATGAGGACTACATGCGACCATGTTTGCAGTGAGTTTATGAGATGATGACCAGGGATGAGGGAGCACTGTGAATAAGGGCCTCTTCCCCTTAACATGGAGGAGTCTTTAAGTGCTCTAAAGACACAAGTGTTGGCCTAGATTCAAAAACATTAGCATAAAATAAACAATCTGATAAGAAGAAAAATAATCCTTAATGAGCCCCGCAGTGATTTCATATTCGTTATTGTGTCAGTGTGATGTATATTCAGTTATCTTCATCAGGAGAATACTACATGGGGAAAACGATGGGGCCTCATCACATCATGCTTCTATAACCACTTTATGATTTGGACCAGATTTTTAACCTTTAAAATATCTTTAAGAAACTCGCAGTCAGCTATTGTTAAAATTGTTTAGTATATTAATGATTCTCAACCATGGTAGTATAATATAATCTTCTGGGAACCTTCAAAAGGATTAGTCCACCCCAGCAAATCAAAATCTCCATCCTGGATATGAACATTTTTAAAGTGTTCCAGGTGATTCTTGCAGCAGGGTTTAGACTACTGCTTTGAGTGGCTTTCAATACTGATTAGGAGTGGGGTTCTCAAGCTTAGTGATTGAGGTGGGGTTCATCCTCAGTCCCATATTATTAGCAGGCAATTCTTAAAATTCCATGTCCCTCCCAGAAGTCACAGTCTCTGGGGTGAGACTTAGGCAACTGGTCTTTTAAAAGCTCCACAGGTGGCCCCAATGTGCAACCAGCACTGAGACGCACTACACTAAAAGACTTTAAAGAATAAAAGAGAAAAATAACATGTTCTTTACAGATTTTACTATCTGTGCTCATATCTGAATGCTGTAGCCTAAAAGTGGTAACATTAAATTTCTGTGGTCAACATCTAGGTATTCACAAGTAGTTTTACAAGTTTTAAGAACAAATCATGGCCAGCATTAAGGATGCAGAGAGGGTAGCTAACATTATTAAGCACGTACTATAACCAAATAATTTGCTTACATAATCTCAGTTAATTCACACAGTATTCGTGAAATAGGTGGTGACATTTCCACTTTATCAGGTAAGGAATCAAGTCATTCAACTAGTAAATTAGGCTCTAAAATCCATGCCTTCTGCAACACTGTCTCTCACAGGGTGTATGAGAAAACCCCTATCTCTGACTACATACATACCTACTTACATACATATAAAAGCTAAGTGATTTGTTGGATTTTGTTGTCTTTCTCCAGTTCCTATTAGCCCAGATAAATGACAAATGACTAAGACTCATTCTAAAAAGATGATGGAAGTGTAAATTTATTCCTTGTGAAATTTTCAATTTGAGTCTTTGCTCATACTGATGGGTGGTTAAAAAAGAAGGGAATATGTATCCTGACAATTATTTCATGTTTGGTCTCCTTGTAGTTTGGCAGCAGGTTCTGAAGTGCAACTAAAACTGCTAAATGCTTCTAACTGGTTCTTTTCCATTAAAAGGTGAGTAACAAGAATCAGGACACGGAATTTGTATGTTTAGTGAAAATATAAACACTTCTTCCAAGTGCCTTGAAAGATAAGTAAACTACAGAAACCCAAACACATTATCCACAGGTCTGCCAAATATTTGACCTTGCCACGTCTGCTCTGTCCCTGACAACTGCAGTGTCAGCCCCCAGTTTGCACTCCCATCCAGTAGGGCAGGCTGTTCCTAATCATGAGACAGACCTACTTCAGGGTCCGCTCTGGCTGCCAGGACACATGGAATTCCTTCTGTCCTACTAAGTCCCTGTGAAGTTTCCAGACACAAATCGGTGACCCATTGTCCAACATATGGGGCTGGCCTTGACTTTACACAGCTATCTTACACTGAACACTAATAGCAATTCCAAAGATTTTGTAAAACACTGGCTGTTTCTATAATCTTTTTTTTTTCTATTTCACAGAAAGGTCTAGATTTAGAGAACCCAAGGTTTCTGCAACTAGAAAAGAGAGCTTCTTAAATAGAATCAGTTTTCCCACCTCATTAATGACAAAAAAATTGAAAGTCCCACTTAATGATAGGAGACACTTGTAGTTCAGTAAATACTTATATTTAAAAAATCTTCAGTATATTTTATGTTCTCATTTTGCAAGTGAGAAATGGATCTCAGGTGAATCATTTTCTCAAAGTGACATAGCTACAAGGGATGGCTTAGGCCCCTGATGCCACAGCCTTTGGAAACCAGTTAGGCTAGGTGTTTCCACCAGGTGCTTCCTGATGGTCAGTGGTTTGTGATTCATTCTTGCTTGAGGACCTCTCTGAAAATCTAACAGGTCTCTCTCTCCCTAAACAGAAACACTTCTAGGGTCTTGGAAGAGTGGTTCTGGCTGAAGCTCTGCCCAGCTGTCTGTCCTGACTTCCACTGTTGGACCTTGTGACTTCCTCTCACAAACGCATGGCCACATATATTACCTGAGCACCTTCACCGTCTCCATCCACTGCACCTGCTCACTCTCCCAGGAGTCCACCCGAATCCAGTCAGACGTCTGCAGGGCCAGACGGACCATGGCCACTCGGTGATGGGAGGGTACCAGGTCTTTCTTCCCATAGTTGTCATTGACGGGTGAGATGATGCCCTCCACGACTTGGTACATTCCTAGGCAAGGGACAATAGTGAGGCTGCATGTTCAAACAGACGTTTTGCCACCTGTCAGTGGGTGTTCAGGCAGATGCTAAAAATCTCTGCCCTGTCTTTTTTTAAATTTTTATTTAAGGAGAAAAAGAGAAAAAAAGGGTACAAGTAATATAAAATTTAAAAAATAAACAGTAAGAAATCACTAGTTAATAGATTACATATTTTCATCTTAGAAGTAGTTGTTCAAGTTACAAAATTAAAGCATATAAAGTGGACTTTCAAACAGTGAGAGTGCAAACCGTTTTGTTCAATGATACAAAAAAAGTAATATGGTTGTCCATCCTACACACTCAAACATATATGCAGTTATAACCTTTAGAGCACCTTCTTTTCTTTGTACAATGACAATTACACATTTTGGGTTTTATTATCTCCACAGTTCTTATTACTTTTTTTGAAGAGAGTAAAACCAAATGCGACATATCAGAACAGAGTCAGTCAAATCAAAAGGATGGACATAATAGATAATGTAAAAACAAAATACAGGGTGATCAGCAGTGGTTACCATAACACCTCTTGCTATAAAAAGAATTGCCTATATCATCAGTTATAATAAAATTGAACAAAACAGTAAAGAATAAAACCAAAACACTGGAGACATTACAGGACTTTAAAAGAAGATAATAGTCAACCAGAATGGGCATCATAATGAATCCTATTGTCTTCAGAGTTGTTGTCTATACTTTCTAACTTGGTACTATCAAGCTAAGCAGAATAGGGGAAAATGAGTCAAAACAAGATGGTGAGGGCAATACAGGGTTTCAAATCAAGTTAATAGGAAATCAAAGTAGGTAACTATAATGTATCCTGCCATTATTTATTTATTTTTCCCTTAATTAAAAAGATAAAAATAAAAAAATAAAGAATTAAAAAAGGAGATTGAGATAAAACAGGGCATGACAGCAAAACAAGGCAGGTCAAAACATAACCATTTAAGCAAAATAGTGTTTCACCACAAGATATCCTGACATAAAAAGTAGTTACCATAGTGTCTCTTTCCTTGAAATCTTTGAGTATAACTTTGTATACTGTAGCACCAAACATATCAAGACAATGTAAAACCATTCAAGAGAATGACATTATTACAGGGTATTTAGAACCAACTAACAGAAAATTAATAATGGTTTCTGTATAATCTCCTTGTCTATAAAAGTTTTTGTTCATATTATCACATATAATAAAATCCAGTAAGATACAACCTGTTAAGACTGATGGAGACAGAAGAATAAAAGCTTGATGGGACTTCAAAACAAGATGATACTAAATCAGCACTAGCTATTATGATGTCTTGTTTTCTCCAAAATAGCTGGTCCTACCATTTAATCTTCTCTGCCTCATTTCTGTTGAGCTCTTTTTCTGTCGTTTGTTGTCAGTTTGTCTTCCTTTCTCTTTCTGCTCCATTCATTGTGGCCCCTCTGCCACTGTTTCTGGAATCTTGGTATTTTCCTTTTTTAGAATATCCTGCAGTATTCTCTATAGAGTTGAATTGGTGGTTGCAAATTCCCCTAGTTCCTCTTTATCCTGGAAGCACTTTGTTTTTCCATCAATTTCCAGGGACATTTGTGCAGGATATATCAATCTTTGCTGGAGGTTATTATCTTTCAAAGCTTGAATTATTTCCCCCCATGCTCTTCATGATTTGATGGTTTGTGCCGAGAAGTCTGCTGTAATTCTGATGGGTGTTCCCTTGTAAGTGATCTGTTTCTTGTCTCTGACGGCTTTTAATATTCTGTTCTTTTATTGGATTTCTGGAATTTTGATTATTATATGCCTGGGTGTAGCTCTGTTTGGGTTGTAGGTGGCTGGGTTCCTGTATGCCTCATACATCTGAGTATCTTTACCTTTTGCTAAATTAGGGAAATTCTCTTGGATTATTTCTGTGAATAGCTTGTGTAGTCCATTTGTTTGTTTCCCTACTTCTTCTTTTATGTTCTTATTTCTTAAGTTATAGATCGTCTTATCATCTTCTAGCCTTTGTATTGTTGCTGTTTGTTTTCTTGTTATTGTTTTTTTTTTTTTTTATTTAAGAGGAAAAAGAGAAAAACACAAAACAAACCAAAGCGGTGTAAGGGTACACGTAATACAGAACTACAAAACAAAACAAAACAAAACAAAACAAAAACAAAGCAAACAAACAAACAAACAAAAAAAAACATAACAGTAAGAAATCACCTGTTAGTATATTACATATTATCATCTTGAAAATAGTTCCTCAAATCACAGCATCAAAGAATACAAGGTGGACATTCAAACAGGTAGACTGCAAACAGCTGTGTTCAATGATCCACAAACATTGATACAGTCAGCTATTTAACACCCCTAAACACACTTGCTGTTATATCCGTTAGAGCTCTTTTTTTTTTCTTCCCCTCTCTTTTTTACAACAAAATTCACACACTTTGGATTTCATTACTCCTTAGTGCTTATTACTTTTGGGGAGGGGGGGGGAGAATACAGTCAAATATGGCAAAACAAAGCTGTCAGTCAATACCAAGGATAGACATAGCACATGGTGTAGAACACAGTACAAGTTTATCAACTATGGTTATCAACGTTGTCCCTTGTTTCCTTAAAAAGAATTGTCTATCTCATTAGATATTATAAAGTTGGACAAAACAGTAGAGAACAAGACCAATACAACTTAGGCATTGTAAACATTACAGGACTTCCAAAGAAGACAATAGTCAAACCAGAATGGGTATCTTAGTGAATCTTATTGTCTTCAAAGTAGTTGCCTATGTCTTCAAACTTGATACTACCATATAGAATGGAACAGAGTCTAATCAGTCAAAACAAGATCGTGGGAGTACTACAGGACTTCAAAACAAGTTAATAGGAAATCAAAAAGAGTTATTATTTATATATCCTAATTATTTGAATTTTTTCTTTAATTAAGACAAACATAAGAAATGACTAATTTTTTTAAAACAATAAGGGGGAGATTGAGATAAAACAGGACATAACAATATAACAATAGAGGTCACAGCATGACTGTTTCAACAACTTAGTACTTCACCACCATATAACCTGACTTAATAGTAGTTACCATAGTGTCTTTTTCCTTGAAATATTTGGATAAAACTTCATATACTCTACTTCAAATATTTTTCAAATCAAGAAGCCCAGAATAAAGCCTTTCTAATTAATGAGTGAAAACTTTATAAGGCTCCAAGGCCACCTAATGGGGAATCATGATTACCACATATTTTTATATATTTGAATCATTACTTACATTAGGGAAACTATTCGGTATTCACACATGCGAGATTGATTTATTTCACTTATGAGTATGGTCTCAAGCTGCGCCCATTTATTGATAAATATCTCAATGTGATCCTTCTTTATAGCTGAATAATACTCCATTGTATAGAAATACCACAACTTTTTTATCCATTCCTCAGTTGATGGACACTTGGGTTGTTTCCATGATCTGGCGATTACAAATTGTGCTGCTATAAACATAGGTGCACATATATCACTGTGGTGTGATGCTTTCAGTTCTTCTGGGAATATGCCTAGAAGTGGAATAGCTGGAATAAATGGGACTTCCAGTCCCAACTTTTTGAGAAATCTCCAGACAGATCTCCACAAAGGCTGTACCAGTCTACACTCCCACCAGCAGTGCAGGAGAGTTCCCTTTTCCCCACAGCCTCTCCAGCATTTGTTGTCGGTTTTCTTGATCCTGGCCATTCTTTCAGGAGTGAGATGGTATCTCAGTGTGGTTTTAATTTGCATTTCTCTAATGACCAATGATGATGAGCATTTTTTCATGTATTTATTTGCCATTTGCATTTCTTCATCTGAGAATTGGGTATTCATCTCAGATGCCCATTTTTGGATTGGATCTTTGAATTTTGGAGGTCTGAGTTTCTTTAATTCTTTGTATGTTTTAGACAAGAGGCCCTTGTCTGAGAGAGAGTTCACTAAAATCTTTTCCCAGTTTGTGGGTTTTCTTTTCACTATGCTGCAGATTTCTTTTGACATGCAGAAACTTTTTAATAAGAAGTGGTCCCAGTTATTGATTCTGGGAAGTATTTCCCATGCAGTTTGAGTCCTGTTCATGAATTCTTTACCTACTCCTATGTCTCCAAGGTTTCTACCTAATTTGTCTTCCAATAGATTTAGTGTTTCTGTTTTAATATTCAGATCTTTGACCCATTTAGATTTTAATTTAGTACATGGTGATAGACATGGGTCTAGCTTTAGTTTTCGGCAAATGGAGAGCCAGTTTTTCCAGCACCATTTATTAAAGAGACTGTCGTTCTTCCAGTGAACCTGCTTGGCTCCTTTATCAAAGATAAGGTGGTTGAGTGTGTTCGTAGTTGTGGTTGTATCTTCTAATCTATTCCACTGATCTTCGGCTCTGTTTTGATTCCAATACCATGTTGATTTTACTACTGTTGCTTTGTAGTATAACTTCAAGTCAGGGATTGTGATGCCTCCTGCTTTGTCTTTGCTGCTTAGAATTGCCTTTGCGATTCTGGGTCTCTTCTGGTTCCAGATGAAATTTAGGAGTGATTTCTCTAGATCTATAAGGTATGTTGATGGAATTTCTATTGGGATTGCATTGAATCTGTATAACAGTTTTGGGAGAATGGCCATTTTCACAATGTTTGTTCTTCCTATCCATGAGCAAGGGATGTCTTTCCATTTTCTGAGATCATCTTCAATTTCCTTTTTCAGTGTATTATAATTTTCACTGTATAAGTCTTTCACTTCTTTCGTAAGAGTAATTCCTAAATATTTCATTTTTTTGCTTGCTAATGTGAATAGTCCAGTTTCTCTTATTTCCCTCTCTGTAATTTTGTTGTTTGTGTATAGGAATGCTATTGATTTCTGAGTATTGATTTTGTATCCAGCCACATTACTGAATTTATTTATTGTATCTAAGAGTATTTCAATGGAGTTTAGGGGGTCTTCTATGTAGAGTATCATGTCATCTGCAAACAATGATAATTTAA